AAATGCTATTCAGCTTAGAAGTTGGTGGGAAGGACACAATTCCCTGCTCTAGACATGAGAAGCTCTGGAACAGAGGTCTGATGCAGATAAAGTATTTTTCAAGAATTTACAGGGTGGTGTTTTTTTAAATTAGACACATACTTATGCTTACAGAAATCATGACATCATGGAAAAAATAATTTGGTTTATAGCCTACAGCCTGAAGTTGTCTTGGTGTGCTTCTAACGCTAATGGCAATTTTTTGTCCTGGTCCATCACCGATGCCTGGTAGGTTTAATTTATCTTGATAATACAGTGGAGTAACAGAATAACTGAACTAAGCAACTAAAATATTAATGAAAAGTAACAACTTGCAACAGTTTTATAACCATTAGATTAACACAGAAACACACAAGGTAACATAGAGATAAGTATTCCAGGAGAAAGTTCAGGAGCCAATCCATTTGGAGTTGTTGCAAAACATTCTACTTCCCCTACTATTCTAATTTGTTCTTCCCCTGTATTTGTTGATGTTTTTAATAGAGACCATTCTTTCCAGCTGAATTAAAAACCAGAAAAAAGTCTTTGTAGGAAGCGATTTCTAAGAGTTTGAAAGAACAAAATGCCTAAACAATGCACTTTTAAAAGAGAGAGGAACTGGCTAGTTTCTTTAGAGGGGGGAAAAAGAGAAAAACGTAAAAGTCTGTTCAGTTGCCAGAAGAGTTTGGAGACGTTAAGACTACCGAGAAAACAGCAAATCCTGCCAAAAAGCTAAAAACCATAGAGGACTAGATGAATAAGTAGTTTCAACATAAGATAAATAGCATCCTATGCTGCCCATAAGATCACAAATGTGGAGGCTTTTCCACTTGTGCTGGGATCTGACCCTTGAAACAGTGCATCAGTCACAAGCAACATTGCTGGCTACACTGGTGATCTCCCTCACCTATTCAGTGCAAAGCTGGCACTTGATGCTATACCCCAGGAGCCATTTAAGATTAGTGAATCCCGTACCACTTTTCTTTGCAAAGAAGTGCTTTGTAGTAACAGCTGGGACAGCGTTGGAGGCTTTCTCCTGTTGGCCAAATATTGGGTACTGCTGCAAGATTTTGTTTTAGCACCTGCAACTTATATCACTGCCTGCAAAAACACAATTATAGGGTTATGTGGCCTGCTGGAGAACAACATGACAAGCTTATTATTTGTGCTATAGTTAAGCCAAAAGAGCTCTCGGTCTTCACAAATCCTGCTGGATTGGAAAAGAGTGAATGATATGGTGGCATTCAAGTAGTTATTCTCACTGAATCTCTGTGTCCTTCATTCTGGTTGTCAGTCTAAGCCAATGCACATAAAGCCCAGTGTTGATTGTTTCTAAAACTTTACTATTAAATGTGGCACCAGAATATAGGAGACTTCAGTCAAGAAAACTTGAAATATACATAGATATTATTGGTTTATTTTACACGTTTGTCTGCTGCTTTTGGCAAGATTGACCTTGAAGTGGTTGACATTTTAAGAATACTTTAAAACAGATTTGTGTTCTGATTATCACTGTAGAAATGTATCTGATATTATGTTTAAACACCTGAAGAGAATTCTGTGCTTACTAGATGGCCTCAGGCAAGCTGCTCTCTCTCAGCTGCAGTATGGTTGTCTCTTACTCATTTTATCCGCCTCAAGACAACTCTCTGATGTGGGTTAGGCTACAAGGTAGTGACTGGCTCATAGTCACCTAGTAAGCTTCATGGAGGAGCAGGGATTTAAAGTCTTTCCAGTCTGATTTTGTCTCTCTCACCACTATACCACATTTGGCTGGCCATTATTTCCAACAGGCATGTAGACCAGAGGGAAAAGTGGATTGTCCCAAATAATCAAATGCATATAATGCAATGGTGGGTTTCTCAGCCCCCAGATAAGATGTAGCACAACAGCCATTTTAGAGGTGGTAACCTGATTAATATCTCACACTTATTATCTACCCTGTTCACATCCATCTCTTCAACTGATTTACTCCACTCATGATTAATTTTTCTTTGCAGATAATCATAATCCTTCTGTTTACTTGCTGCTCAAGTAATCAAAAATCTTCCCAAATTTGATCTCCTTTCCCTTGATTCTCTCTCCCTTCATCAACATCAGGACCCTTCCAAACCCATATAAATTCCCCGGGATGGGACTGTCCAACCTCTGCCAAAAAACCCAGTAGGACTCTATGTAAGTAGTATTTAATGATTTGGCCAATTTTCATTAAGAGACCTTTGCTGGGAGTGCAGAGAATTAAATGATAACAGCAATCCATGTTTTTGGTATAAAGGTTATATGTGTATATATAGTTTAATACAGTCGTACCTCGGCTCCCAAATGCCTTGGGAGTCGAATGTTCCAGCTCTCGAACGATCTAAAACTGGAAGTGAGTGTTCTAGTTTTTGAACTTTTTTTGGAAGCCAAATGACTGGTGCGGCTACCGCTACTGTTTCTGGCACGCCTGTGCAAGCGAGAACCAATTGGAAGCTGGGCCTTGGTTTCCAAATTTTCAGAAGTCGAATGGAGGTACATCTGTACTTAAGAGAGTCTTTACACAGTTTACAAAATAGCAAATACAATAGGTATATAACAAACAATGGAACTAAGGAGCTACAATGCAATGCAATATAATAAAAGAATAAAATCACAGAAAACAAAAATATTGTAGCACATTTCAAAACATCTCTCCTGCCAAGACACTCTTTTGTGTATATTTTAAATAATTATACATGGATGTTTTATGATGGCCTATATTTGTAATGCCTAATAAAGGTTTGGCAAAGTAAGTCCTGTGAAGACATATCCTGATTCACAAAATACAACACTTATCCCACTAATACATATACCCCATGCTCAAATTCTTCCTTACATCTACACAAATAATACAATGCCTACTACTCATTCAGTGTCACTAATCCTGTTCTTCTCCTTCATCTCATACATATCCACCACTACACACAACACAGCATCCAACAGCAATCTGACTCTTATTCAGGTTGCTATCTCTCACCCAACTCTCTTACCCAAGGATGGGTGCAATTGAATACCCTCTCCCTGGTACTCCTTTCTCTCATCAAGGACATTGATTAATTGAAATCAAATTCGCATTGTGTTAAGCCAAGGATGGCCTTGAGATAGCAAGAAAGTGGGGATGGACAAATCTGTCAAGTTTGGTTTTCTCATTTTTCATTTTTCCAAACTTAAATTCAATTTTCTACAATTCTACAGCAATTTATGATTTTAATTTTAAAAATCTTTATGAAAATCCACCAGCATTTTACTGCAATTTTATATACACTTTTTGAAAGCAATTGTTCCTAATGTAATGCTTGTTTGTATGCTATTTTCACTACTGTGGTTTTTTGCCCATTTCTTAAAATGCAACCAAAATTGAATTTCGCCTTATAATTTCTCCATATGACAAAGACTTGGAAAACCCTCAACTGTAGGTTTTTGTTTACTTTTTTGTTTTGCTTTGACTTTCAGCCAATGTGTAAGATATGAACACGTGAAAAGCATTTCCTTAAGTTGTAAAAAAGAAGCAGGGGGATAGCTACTTACTTCCACTAGGAATAGTAGTAGAAACTAAACTTGGTGATCTCATTACAGCAATTATTAAACATTTTATTTCTGGAAGACTTATCATCCCAGAGAAGGGGCAATGCCACTGTAACGAGAAACAACCCTTTAAGGGGGGACAAAACTTCCAGCACTGACTCTTTCTATAGGATGTCCTCAATTTAGCACCAAGGAAGCAGCATGATTCAAGTCAACTCCAACAGAGATCTTATTCTTTGGAGAAAAACAACAAAACCAGATTGGGTCTGGGCTTGAATATCCCTATGCTGCAAGCTCCACAAAGTAGCAAGTGTCTGCGGAGGGCTGATCAGGAATTCTAGGCACACATCCACATGCAAATGGGAAGAAAGTACAGCACTACAGCCTTCAACAGAAGAATTAGCTAACCTCCTTTTAAAAAGGGGTGAGGGGGCGGGACAGGAGGGAGAAGAAAGGAAGAAAGGATGTTGGGCCAACTTTAAAAAGGAAAGCTGGGAATAGTTTTTTGTAGATTTTCCCCCCTTTAAAAGATCTTTATGTTTAAGAACAAAATAAAACAAAACACCTAATGATAAGATGTAACAAGCACCAGTAGGGTTCAAAGTGACCCAAGGTCTTCTTTGTCTTCAGATTGAGGGAAGCTTCCTACAGAGATTTTTTACTGGCTAATTTTCCCCTCCCCCCTTAACGGAAGAATTTCCTTGCGTGGACATCTTGGAAAGTCTCCGTGCTGGGAGTCTGAACTTTCCCACAGCAGTGGAGTGTGAATTGTTTTGTTCTACATTAATTTAGGTTTAAGCAGCCACAATCCCAGACGCTGCCAGAGCGTTTGCCCCGTGCTTCTCGATACGATGCAAATTAAGCATTCCTTACAGCTGTAGCTGACAACAGGAAGTCTCAAAGAGCCTTTAAAGCAAAGGAAGAAAAATTGGCCTTGTTTATTCATTCACTGAGCATGCTCCACTAGCAGCACACATCATGTGATTTCCAGTTTCCAAGGCAACAACTGTGATGCTAAGTACACACTGTCCTATGCCAAAACAAGAGACTTGGGGGATTGAGGGTAGCTTTTGTAAAATAAAAAAATAAATGTACAGACCTTATGTAGTATCATCATACATTTATAGAGACTGATCTTTTCATTGCCTCCTTATTTGCAGCTGAACACAACACAGGCAGTTGCCAATAGATCTAAGCCTCTGCAGCTGTAGTAGCAAGATATTCATTAGCTGTATGGTGTGACAAAAAGAGAGTCCTGATAAATTATATCAGAATGGTATTATCTGAAACAAAGGCAGACAGCCTGTAACCTTGAGCTACTCATTTCTAATCCTTGCACATTCACAAGCATCAGTTGCTCAGTAAAGTTAAACAAGCGGCTCTCAAAGTCTGAGCTGTCCCCTCCCCCTCTCCCCTCACAGTTGCCAGGAAGACTTGCACAAAGTCCTTCCTGACCCCTTTCCCACAGTCTCTTTCGACTGGGGCAAGAGGCAACGTGCAAACTCAGCCCCTCTGGAATGGTGAGTACAATGGAAATCGGGTGTTCCCTTGTGTTGGCTGCTGTGGGCAATTTAGTTCAATTGAGCCACCCTCTATATTTAACAGGCTTTTTGTTCCCTGAGAGACTCTAAGGGACCAATAAGCATGGTTCATGCGCCACTGGGCCTTCACTTTTTACTTTTAATAGCTTCTTTCAAGAATAGCTGCAAGAGCAGATCATACTCTTGCCGTTTCTCATCCCAATAATATGAATTGGCTTAAGCTGCAGCGGCAAATGGAATGACTTGTGTTGCTGTGCTGATGAAATGTCACTCACACCTCTCTTTCAAATTATCCATAAAAAGCCACTCAAGGGACAGGAGGACACCCAGTCCCTCTCTATAACCATCAAGTGCCCCAGTACCCCTTGCATGGTACAGTTGTGTCCATGACAAGCAGATATGAGGAAGCTGTGGGATAGCTCAATCCAGTGCTTTTTTTCTGGGAGGACGCTGGGGTATGCATACCGCTAAACATTTTGTGAATCTAAGTTTGGCCTAATTGAGGGGCAGTATTTCAATATGAGCAGGAAAATGAGAGTACCCCTAAACATTTTTTTTAAAGAAAAAAAGCACTGGCTCAATCAGCAGAGCATGAGACTCTTAATTTCAAGCTCATGGGTTCAAGCCCCTCCCTGAGTAAAAATAAAATACAATCCTGCATTGCAAGGGGTTGGGCTCGATTACCTGTGTGGTCCCTTCCAACTCTACAGTTCTATGAGTCTATGATTCTAAGGAAAGAAGCCAGGCTCAGGTCCTAGGAGCTACGTTCTCAGCAGAGCATCTCATAGGCTGAGCTACTAGGTGCAGCTGAAAAGTTATTTTGAAGAGTTATGTTCCTGACACTAGAAGGCATCCTTGTCACAGCAATCATATCAATTTGCAGATGAGAGAGTTGCTCCTTCTGGATGTGTGAGTTCTTTAATTATCTGTTTTCATATCTTCACTGGAATACAGGATGTGCTTGTGCATACAGATTCCATGTGTGCAAAGTTCTCTTCTGATGTGGTGTGTGTGGCTGGTTGTGGCTTACAAAAACTCGGTCCAAGCCGTACCTTCACCTTGCAAACGGAATGGGGCTTACAGCAATGGTGATAAATTTTTAAGGTGGAAAATGAAACTGTCTTCAAAGAGAAGATTGAGAAAGCTTAGCTGTCACAAAAAATCACCTTGGTGACTGTTACCTTAAAGGTGACCCCTAGAGTTATTTTGGTTTTAGGAGAAGTACTGAAATTGGGTCACCTTCAGCATGCAGTGCAAGTCTACAGTTCCGAGGCACAAAAAGGTGCTATTCAAATGGATTCTGCCAAACCAAAATAATTCTAAAATATTCACAGAAGGACAAAGAAGCAGTGGAAATATTGTATCACTAATTTTGCCAAGTGTTTTATTCCAGGGGTTTATAAATGTTAGAATACAGCATGAGGAGCAAGAAAAACCTTGCTTTTGGAAAGAGTGTATGTAGCTTCCTAGGTTCCTTGTTAGAAGGATGCTCATACATATTATCTTTCTGTCTTAACAGTCCACTTCCACAAACACACTGTAGTGGTGATTAAGGTGGCTATGCACTTATTGTTGATCTTCAGGAACACAACCATCAGAGAGATTTGTCTCTGTAAATAAAGAGAATGTACTACCCCTGGACTGGCAGAAAAGATTCCAGACACAGTAAAAATGTGTTTTAAATGTCCCAGGAAGTGGTGAAGAGTCTCAGGTCTACAGTGGTACCTCTGGTTACGTAATTAATTCGTTCCAGAGGTCTGTTCTTAACCTGAAACTGTTCTAAACCTGAAGCACCACTTTAGCTAATGGGGCCTCCTGCTGCCTCCGTGCCGCCACCACGCGATTTCTGTTCTCATCCTGAAGCAAAGTTCTTAACCCAAGGTACTATTTCTGGGTTAGCGGAGTCTGTAACCTGAAGTGTATGTAACCTGAAGCGTATGTATGTAACCTGAAGCATATGTAACCTGAGGTACCACTGTATTAGTAAAGTGTCTCCAGAACAACCACATTCTTTGGTGATTCCAGATTCCAATTCAGAGAGGAGGGGGCCTGAGCAAGGCTAGAAGGGGTGTGTGTGTGTGGAGCTGATAAAACAAGAGAAGGTATGAAGTTTCTGATGGATCTAGTTCAGTATCCTGTTCTCACAGTGGCCTGGGGAGAAATGTTTCAATTTTTGAAGCTACAAAATCTGCCTCCCAAAATCTAAATTGCTCACAAGGTTTCAGGAGGCCTTTCATGCAGTTTGTAGTAACTCAAAGGAAGCGTGATTCAGCTTGGAGAAGTCTTTAATCTGTCTAAATATGCTCATTTCAGGGTTTGTTTGATTACACTACAAACCCCTGCCTTTGTGATAACATTTCACAGCATTCCAAACCTCCCACCTATTAACCATTTTTGTCCTAAAGGAGAACAAAAGTGTGTGCCAATTCAGAGTAAAGGAAAGTACTGGTCCAAGAAACATTGCTGTCACTCTTCATGACTTAGCTAAATCTGATTGGCTATGAAGCATCATGACATGGTCACATTGAATATATCATGGGTAAGCAAACTAAGGTCTGGGGCCGAATCCGGCCCAATCGCCTTCTAAATCCTGCCTACAGACGGTCCAGGAATCAGTGTGTTTTTACATGAGTAGAATGTGTCCTTTTATTTAAAATGTGTCTATGGGTTATTTGTGGGGCATAGGAATTCCCCCCCCCAAAAAAATATAGTCCAGCCCCCCACAATGTCTGAGGGACAGTGGACTGGCTCCCTACTGAAAATGTTTGCTGACTCCTGGACTATATGATACCTGGCTGGCAGGCATTATCCTTCTGATAATTAGTGGAGAACCTTAAATTAGTGCAGAATGGGGTTGTCAAACTGTTGATAGGTTTGAGGCAACCCGATAATAAAACACCAAATCTGCTACAGATACACTGGCTGCCTATATACAGCTGAACCCAATTCAAAGTGCTGGTGTTGGCCTGTAAAGCTCTTTATGGTTCAGGATCCCAATATCTTCTGGACCACCACTCTTGATATGAACCTATCTCTACCTTTAGATTTTCATCCATGGCCTTCCTCTGAGGGAAGCTCTGCATGTGTTGGCAATGGGGTGAGCCGTCTGTCGGAAGTTCTTCCCAGGGAGGTCTGCTTGACACATTCACTGGCATCTATTTGGTGACTAACCCTTTCCCCCAGGCTTTTGGTGGACTGAGTTGATGACAAAGCTTTCTGTAAAGGTTTTTTTGGGGGGTGGGATGGGGTAGGGTTTGTTTTGTGTATATCTATCAATAGCTATATATATATGAATTGTATGTTCTGTGTATGAATTGTTAATAGTGTGTTGTATTTATTCTTGTTTTTAAATGTGTTGTAACTTGCTTGGGAATCTTTGGGTAAGAAGTCTAAGAATAATAATAACAACTTCCTGCTCATCTAGTCCCTAATACAAGAAATTAGCATCATAGGGCAATTGAATTATAGCTCTAGGAAGCAACTAAGTGAATTTTGGGTAGAGGGATTCCCCAACTATAAATCACCCCTCCCACCCAATTCCTTGGGCTCTCCCAAACAGTAAATTTCAAGTTTGTTGTTGTTGTTTAGTCGTTTAGTCGTGTCCGACTCTTCGTGACCCCATGGACCAGAGCACGCCAGGCACTTCTGTCTTAGAACTTCAAGTTAGAATTAGTCAAACACTGTTTCAGGAAATCTCTATTGCTTACCCTATTTTATCATGCTCCATCAAAACTACAATTTAGGCTGCAGTCCTATCCCTACTTATCTGAACTTAACAGGATTTACTTCCGAGATGACCTGGTTAGGGTTGTGCTGTTCATTATGAAGTTGAAGAGCTTCATGGGACTGCAGTATTGAAATACAAAACTGCAATGTCTACACAAGATTGGTTTAGATGGTCTAGGGTGACACTATGTGGTTAATTCAAGCACTGAAATAGCAACAGCATATACAGGTTTCAAAGATAAATGTTTTCTTTTCAAGCTGTTAGAACAAACCTTAGTTTTAAATGAATCAATCCTTCTTACAAAGCACATCATTTGTTTCATGTCCATTTTTTAAAGAGGCTGTTACCACCGTGACTTAAATTTGTTCTCATCCTAAACATGTGCAGTACCCCTAGACTTGGAATGCACACTGGGAAGGTTTCTATGCATAAAATGGGGAGGTGCTTGAAATATGGATGCAAAGTAAACATCTGAGGTTCTGTTTGTTGCCTGAAAGTGTCTTAACAGATTACTGCACATTTACCAAACTAGTAAAGAGTGATCTGTTAATAAGAACTTAGAATAAGAAACAAAACCAAACAAAACCCCTTTTGTTAAATTTAAAGATAATTCAACCCAGAGAGACACAATTAAAATGCACAGATCAACTGTATAGTGTTCCCTCTCACAGTGGAGTAGCGAGAACACCTATAACTTTCTACATGGGAAAGATACATGCAGATGCGTGATCAATGTGCAGGATCTGCCCTCTGGTCTCAATCCAAAAAGAAACTCTGCATACTCATTTCTTCTGATGACTGATCAGAGCCTAAAGATGACAACTATGATTATCTTATTATTTATACCAGGCATCCCCAAACTCAGTCCTCCAGCTGTTTTGGGACTACAATTCCCACCATCCCTGACCGCTGGTCATGTTAACTAGGGATGATGGGAGTTGTAGTCTCAAAACATCTTGAGGGCCGAGTTTGGGGATGCCAGATTTATACACACCACCAAGCAAGGAGACCTATTGGCCTTGGGTGGAGTGCACTGAGTTGTGCTAAGGATTTATTTATTTTTAATGGTGAGTGTATGCCAACAACTATCCTGTGGATCTCTATCTAAATAACATCCTACACAATAAAGCCAATATAAATATCTGAAATGAACATGACTTTGGTGTGAATAACAGTGCTGGTCTTTAAGTGAGTTCTTTTTTAATAAAAAGCTTTTTGGTTTTTTAATTTAATTGAAATCATCCAACACAGG